CTAAAAGAACCCAATAGTAAATTAGTACGTTGGCGACTCAAATTAGAGGAATACGATTATAAAATATGCTATAAGAAAGGAAAACAAAATACAAATGCCGATGCTCTATCACGAATTTTACTAAACGCACTAGAATCCGAATCTTTAATAAATTCACCTGGAAATATTGATCAAGATATTGATACATTTCTAGATGAACTTGTAGCATCAAGGCTAAAAGAAATCGAAAATCCCAGGTATCAACATAATTTCTAATATTCAACTAAAACATCCTTTGTCGGAACATAATACAAAACCCCAAATTATCTCAAGTGACAACACTGTTCACAGCGTTAATGCAGATCAAAACTATTCGGAAATGACCCTTCTAGATGAAATCATCAATAATAAACCAAGGCAACGGATTATTAAAAAATCACCTTACGATTCATACACTAAAACATCTCAAGAATTATTCGATGGACACAAAATTATTCACGCAACATTGCCTTTAAGCATTCAAAAAATGTGTGACTTTCTAAAAGAGTATTTAACATCTCCTACTATGCATGTTTACTTTTTTTCAAAAGAACTAAGAAAATATTTTCAACAAGTCATGACAACAACTTTCGAAATTGCAAATTAACAGAATGTACAAAACTCATCAATAATGTCAAAAAAGACGAAAGGATTCTATTAATCAAGCACAGGCACGAAGGTAAGACAAACCACCGTGGAATAGAAGAAAGAACAAAATTTCTAAAATCCAATTATTACTGGAAATCTTTAAAAACTGACGTCTCGAATTACATTAAGATCTGTGAAAAATATCAACGGTCCAAATATGATCGAAGCCCTCCAAATGAACCCCTAGCACTTACTGAAACACCTAGTAAACCATAAATTCCTAACATTATTTGACAAATTCTCCAAATTTGGACAAGTTCTTCCTTACCATGGCAACGCAGTATCTTGTTGTGAACAACTTCTCAAATTCTTTTCATTCTTCGGAGTCCCAAGAAGCCTCATTTCAGACAACCGCTCAGAATTCAAAAATGAAGTAGTACAAGGACTTTTAAAAAGTCATAACATCAAAGTACATTTTACTACCCCTCATCACCATGAGTCAAATTCACCTGTGGAACGTTTTCATTACACTCTAATTGAACATTTACGTCTTTTACGAGATACAGATCCAGAAAGTGAAGTTTCTAATCTAATGCCTTACGCTTTAATCGCGTACAACAGTACGATACATTCTTCAACAAATTTCACCCCTTTTGAATACAGACAGCAGAGATCCAATGAATATGGTCGCTTCTCACGTCTTCACTGAATACTTAGATTCTAACAAAAATAAAACGCAAATTCTTTTTGACAAAATAACAGCTGATTCTAAAGAAAAGAAATAAAAAATAATAGAAAAATTAAATGAAAAAAAATCCTCACAAAACATCCAAATATGATTTCAAGTGTATAAAAGCTCAGATCTTAGATCAGGAAAATTAAAGAAGAAATTTTTAGGACCGTTTACAATAACAAATATTCTCGAAAACGGAAAAATCGAAATAGAAAACTCGAAAAATAAAAAACGAGAAATCATTCACAAAAATGAAAGTAAAATAATCCC